CTCAGCACTGCCCCTCAACAGGGATGACTCAGCACTGCCCAACAGGGATGACTCAGCAGGGATGACTCAGCACTGTCCCTCAACAGGGATGACTCAGCAGAGATGACAACGCTGTCCCTCAGCAGGGATGATTCAGCAGAGATAACTCAGGGATGACTCTGACTGCCCCTCAGCAGGGATGAGTCTGTTTTGCTCCAATGGAAGCATCCCTAGTGTCCATCAGCAGGTGAATGGCCGAAGTGGCATATACTGTAGTCAAATTCAGCTATAAAAAGGAATAAAGTATCAATGCATGCCACAACACGGGTGAACCTAGAAAATACTGTTCTAAATGCAAGAAGCCAGACACAAAAGGCCGCATAACATATGGTTCCATTTATGTGAAATGTGCAGAACAATAAACATGTATAGAATAGCGAATCTGTAGGGACAGACATGAGGTGAGTGGTTGCCAGAGGTGGAAATGGGAATTAACTATAAATAGCACAGGGTACCTTACAGAGATGATGGAAATGTCCTAAAACTAGATTATGGCAATCGTCGCACTACGCGATCAGTTTATTAAAAAATCATTGATGTGTACGTGTAAAATGGGTGGATTTTATGGCTTATAAATTATACCTTAATAAAGGTTGACAAAAAATGTGGCTAAATAATGGTGACTGGTGGGCAGCTCCCGTTACTTTTAAGTTCTCTACTGAATTTCAGTCTTGTTCTCTCTGCTGGAGATTTTCCTTAACAAAACTGATGTGGGTCAAGCTCCAGCGGCCAGGAGCAGCACTGACTATTGGCTGTTTCTCCCTTCCTGGGTCAGGTGCTGATATTGCGAATGTTTGCAATGAGGCAGCCCTGATTGCTGCCCGGCATCGGAGTCCTTCTGTTGAGGAGAAACACTTTCAGCAGGCCGTCGAGAGGGTCCTCGGAGGTGAGCTGGGAGCCCTTGGGGAGGGAGGGGTGTTTGCAGCTCTGGGCCTGGCAGGCTTACCCTCTGGCCCCAGTTTGAATTCTGCATGCCGGCCGGGCACAGTGGCTCACACCTGTAATGCCAGCACTTCGGGAGGCCGAGGCAGGTGGATCACTTGAGGTCAGGAATTTGAGGCCAGCCTGGCCAGCATGGCGATACCCTATCTTGATTTTTAAATACAAAAATTAGCCGGGCATGGTGGCACATGCCTGTAGTCCCAGCTACTCAGGAGGCTGAGGCAGGAGAACCTCATGAGCCCGGGAGGCAGAGGTTGTGGTGAGCCGAGATCGCGCCACTGCACTCCAATCTGGGTGACAGAGCAAGACCCTGTCTCACCAAAAAAAAAAAAAAAAAAAAAAGTCAATTCTGCAGGCAGGAACCAATTTTCTAAACCAACATATGGGGCTTGGGATCTACCAATAGCTTTCATGCCCCTTCTGGGAGCAACATTTAGAAATTGAAAGGGATAGGCCTTCCAGGCCATCAGAGGCCCAAGGAAGCATATTAGAACCAGGTTTGAATGCCTACTGTGGAGGGCAAAGAAGCTTTCTTCCCTGAAGGGAATGGATGAGATTTCCTGGGAAAAGCCTCCTGGAAGCTGTAGGGACCTTCCTGAGCCTCCTCAGGACAGTACTGTTGTGAAAGGAGTGAACAAAGTGAATTTCCTTTTTTTTTTTGAGACGGAGTTTAACTCTTGTTGCCCAGGCTGGAGTGCAGTGGCATGATCTTGGCTCACTGCAACCTCTGCCTCCCGGGTTCAAGTGATTCTCCTGCCTGATCCTGACTGGCTGGGATTACAGTCATGTAGCACCACACCTGGCTAATTTTTGTATTTTTAGTAGAGATGGGGTTTCACCATTTTGGTCAGGCTTGTCTGGAACTCCTGACCTCAGGTGATCTGCCCGCCTCGACCTCCCAAAGTGTTGGGATTATAGGTGTGAGCCACTGTGCCCAGGCTTACGGTGCATTTTCTTCAGCTTGGTGGGGAGCGGTATCCATCTCTCTCTTCAGCTCAGCAGACTGTAGAGTGGGCCGGGTCACAGCCTCCTGCAGCTAGGCCAGCTTGGGGAACTGGAGTCAGCTGTGAGGAAGGGTCTCCAGAGGCTGCCAGACCAGGCAGTGCCAACACGGCCTTGCTTGGCCTGGCTCTCCCTGGTGCAGTTCTGAGGGTAGAGAATAGGGAAGTGGCCAGTAGCCGTCCTTCATGGTCCACCCCAAGCTGTGAGAGCTGACATTGGTCAGGTGGAAGAGTGTTCTAGCTGCTGCTTCTTTATGTAACCATTTATCGAAGCATAATGTATACATAAAGTACTTAAGATACTGAGTATCTCAAGGCAAACACTAAAGCTGCTGCCTTTTTTTTTTTTTTTTTTTTTAAGTGGAGTGTTGGGATCTTGCTCTGTCTCCCAGGCTGGAATGCAGTGGTGCGATCTCGACTCACCGCAAGCTCCGCCTCCTGGGCTCAAGCAATTCTGTTGCCTCAGCCCCCCAAGTAGCTGGGACTACAGGCACGCACCACCACGTCCAGCTAGTTTTTTGTATTTTTTGTAGAGATGGGGTTTCACTGTGTTAGCCAGGATGGTCTCAAACTCCTGACCTTGTGATCTGCCTGCCTCGGCCTCTCAAAATGTTGGGATTGCAGGCGTGAGCCACCGCGCCCAGCCCAAAGCTGCTTATTTTTATTCAACTTAAAAAAATTGGCCGGGCGTGGTGGCTCAAGCCTGTAATCCCAG